AATACTTTAAAAAAATTTATTTTATAATTAACATTGTAAAGCAATTTTTCAAAATTATTTTGACTTTTCTCGTCATCCTAATTTCACTTTTTTATTCCTCCTTTTTTGCAAAAATAACGTGAGAATATGGCAGCTGTAAAGCAAAATTCTCGTCCACTGTTCTATGGACATGTGTCTGTGGCAAGGGCGTATTTGGAAATTGACTTGTTGAAGGCTACCCCTGAAGCCAAGGCCATGCAGTATTTATTTTCCTAGTAGAATATTTTAATTTTTAGGATTAATTAGTTTATTAATTAAGTTAGATTTGGGCAGTGAAAAAGAGGGGAGGGGTATTTATCGAATTCTGAAAAGATAATCATGTCTCATTTAAATTGTGCCAACAAAAGGGGAACACAGCGCCACCTACTTGTTCTTATTCCCTTTTTTGTCTTTTCCTTCTTCTAAATTAATATCAATAGAATAGAATAGAATAGAATTCACAAATGGCTCAGTCTCCCAACTCTATTATACTAAATTAAAATTTTTTTTTGAAGCTTTTGTTCATAAATAAATAAAAAATTTAGTAAAAATAATATGTTAAAGATTTAAAAAAAAAAAGCAATAGTAAGATTCGAATTTTATATTTCTACAAAAATAAAAATACCCTTAATAAGGCATAGGATCAACGAGGACTTTTCAAAGATTTATTATATAGGATACTGAGAAAAATATATTGCAATTTAAATTATGTTAAATTATATAATAACAATTTATGTATAGAATTTTTTTAATTGTGAGGACATTACATGTTTAAAAGATGTAATTTAAACGATAAAATGGTTTAAAATTATATTTATTAATAAATAATTTTTAATGATTTGTTAACTTATATTTTAAGAATGTAATTAGTATATTTTTAATTTTAATTTAGATTAAAAGATAAAAATTATATTTTAAATTTATTAATTATTTAATTTAAATTATATATGTAAAATTTAAATTAAAATTCATATTAATTTTTATATAAATTAAAAATTAAAAATATATATTAATTATACTATTAAGGTATATATTAAAAAAAATTAATGATAAATGTATAATAAATTTTAAAAATGGAATTATTCAAAAAGTGTGGATAAAGCCAAAAACAGTTACGAGACCTGCTGGACTGCGAAGCCTGGCGCATAAAGGACAGTGATTTTTGTCTGTAAATACTTCTACGAAAAATCAAAATTCTATTGGTATTGGTAGTAGTAAATACCATAATTAAATGAAACAAATGGTCTTTAAAAAGCCTAAAGGAAATAAATAAAAATAAAGAAAATGGTTCACTTTTCAATTTTAGTACAACAGACAAATCAAGATAATTCACAAATTCCAAAAAATAGATAATTCACAAACTTGTCAAAACGACTCAACATCAACTATTTCAAAATTTTGTTTTATTCGAGAAGCTAATGTTAATATATCAGTAGATAAATATTAATTAATGAATTATAAAAAATAAAAAATATTTTTTATTTTAAGTTATATTATGGGAGTTAATTTTTTGTCATCTTTTAATTTATTTTATTTGTTGTTATACAATTTAAATTTAAAATTTTTTATTTTTAAATAAAATTATAACTAAATTATTAAGATAAGAAAGTAATATAATAATTGACACTAAATTATTTTTGTTTATTTAGTGAGAATTTTATTTTATAATTTAAATTATATTAAATTATA